ATATTACATCAATTACAAGACATGAAAACTAATTTATAATTCTTACTAATTAATAGTCTAAAACTATATTTTAAGGGAGAGTCAACAGATTATTTTACACCTAAAAACAACGTTTAGGTTCATTATTTTACTTTATTTTTTATGAATAAAAAGAATGGTTTCTGGTTTGAAAGAAACATTTAAAGTTTATGATTTTACTAATTAAATATTTAAATCCTTTTTTCCGTCCTTTCTTTGCTGGTTTCTAATCCTGATTTAATCCCCTGCCTGATTCCTGCTCTTCAGGCAGCAGGAGGCTAATTAGCTGAGCTAACAGGCTAACGGGCATCAGATGGAGATGCTAACAGGCTAATCAGCATCAGATGCTAATGAGATGCTAACGGGCTAACCGGGCAGCTTGGAGGAAAATCGGGTCAGACACAAGAGATAAAAACAATTTAGCTCTGTCCAACGGTACCGTGTTGAAGTCCAGCAGAACCCTGAGGAACAGTCCGGTCCGGTCCGGTTCAAGGAGCTGGAGCCGCTGAAGGTTCGGATCAGATTCTTGGATCCAGCTGTTTTTTTCTCTCCTGTCGCCTGGAAGTCCTGAAGAGCACAAAGACTTAAAGATAGAAGGAGCGCACAGACAAGAGGTCTCACTCTGTCCCAAATATCTCACATCTCTCTGTTGTCCTTCTTTTAGAAGAGGAGGAAACATTAAAAAAGATAAATTCTAACAAATACGTTTAAAATACATTAAGTAAAAATATAAAATAATAACATGTCATGAGAAAAAAGATAATACCAAGTAAAAAATGTATTTTGGCCACGCCCACCTACTGACGCAGCTTTTCTTTCCCTCCCAAGTGGCACTTTGTTTTAATAGACAATCTTTGTAGACCTGCAGCTGATCGGTTATTCCTGAGAATAAAACCTTCAGATAAACCAACAAAACTCTGCTTTCTTTCTTGTTGAAATTACATTAAGTAATAATTAAGTATTATATATAACAGTTACCAGCTGCAGTGTAGTCTCTGCTGTTCCTGTGGCTCTTTGTCGTCCTGAAGCCACAGCTCAGGTGAGTCCAGAGGTACTCCTTCAGGTGAGCCGGGTCAGAACAGAACCAGCTCTTCATCACATCCAGTTTCATATTTAATCAATAGGATGTTAGAACTTCAGATCAAAATAAAATAAAAACTTGACATTCCGTTTCTTCTGCTCTTTATTTGAATAAATCGTTTTATTCACAAACACAAACAGTTTTGTTGCAAAAAACAACAGAATAAACAGAAAATTTGAATTTTAGTTAAAAAACTGGCAAGAAAACTTTGAATACATTTTGTTTTAGTATAAATAATAAAAATATTACTAATGGATGTTAAATATAATACATAAGTATCATCACTTGATAATTTTACTGAAATATTATTTTTGTTTTTAATTTCCTTTGTAATAAAAGCAGAAACTTGTCACGTGCACTCAGCTCCAGCAGGTGGCGGTAAAATACTTTTTCTTTCTCAGCAGCAGCAGAAATAAAAACTGTTTTGCATAAAAAGTTTTGTAGAGAACAAATTTAATCTGTCAGATTAAAACAAACTTTATTAAAACGTTGAAGATTAACGACATGAGACGTCGTCTCTGGTTGGACTTTATTCCACCATCAAACAAACAAACAGCTTATCTTTATGTTCAATTAAATTCATTTTAAAGTTACACAACCTTTGTTTTTAGCAGCAGAATGAAATAATCTGCTCGACAGAATCAATAAAATACATTAAATCTGAGGTTTAAGACAAAGATAATTCTCCCTGAAAAAGTCAAAACAATGCTTAAAGCTCAAGTTTTAACATTTATTTGATAAGAAAGTGAAAATAAAAATATTTTCTCTGCATGACAAGAAAAACAGAAAGCCTTCAAATAAAAATAAAACTTAAAATTAAGCTTTAAATAATCTGTTATATTTTATTTTAAAGTTGTATCT